TCTTCTTCTCCGAGCTCGGGGAACTCAGGGCCCTCTTCCTTTTCTTCTCTCCTGTTGTGGTTCCGGGCTTCCCTGAAGCAGAAGGATCAGCGGGCAGGTCCTCGCCCCCTGCCAAGGGCCTAGTCTCGATGGTGTTAGGAAAGCCTGCAAAAAATAAAAGAAGCAATGAGGGCATAGTATTAAAAAAAGAAAGTCTAGTGCTACTTAATCGGAGAAACGAATCATACCGTGAGAACTGGCCTCCCAACGGACCTTCGAGAGCTCACGGCACGAGCGTTCGACATAAGGCATCTGCGAATAAATGCCTTCGATCCACTCCTTGAGCCGAGGGATGGCGTTAGGACTCGAGCGATGGTTGCACCACAGCAAACACCGATGAGAAAAGGGAAGATAAAACATAAAATCAATGTGTTAAAGGAGTTGTACTTACATGATAAGTTCCACTTTTTGGGGAACGGCCTCCACTCGGCAGGTATCAGGTCGGTGGTCTTCACCCGAACAAAGCGTCCTTGCCAACCTCGATCTTGGTCCTCATCGATACTTGAAAATGGGGCCTTACTAGCCCGGCGTACAAGCTTTATCAGTCCCCCCCCCCCCCCCCTCAGAAGATTTGGGGATTGTACAAGCGCAGTAGATGATCGATGGTAAACGTACATGAGTCGATTTTGTTCACAAAGAAGCGGAAGAGGATCACGATCCTCCACATCGATGGGTGGATTTGGTCGAGGCATACGTCGTACCTTCTGCAAAATACCAAGATGACCGTATCCATCAGACCTAATGTAAAGGTATAAGTGTAAACACTCAGATATCCCTCAACATGGGTGGTGATGTCTTCATCAGGCCCGGGAATCACTACATCTTTATCCGCCCAGACGCAGTCCTTTAGAACTACAGGAAGAACGACCTCAGTAATGGAGCAGGCGTATCGTGACACCGCCTCGCATCGGCCTTGAACCGAGAAGAGCTTTTCGACCTTGAAGTCATCTTTAGCCGAACACCCTCCGGGGATGAACATTTTCAAGGGCGGCTCGGTTGGGTGTTCATCAGTGGACGCACCCGGAGCGGACCTCTCAAGGACGACCACGTCAGGGGCGGTCTCCTCGACCTCAGTGGTCGGCTACGTAGAAGAAGAAGCATCTTTCTGGAGAATGGTTTTGGAAGTCTTTGCCATTTTTTATCTGGATAAAAAGGTTTGAAGATATAAAGGAGAATGAAGAGATGAAGGGTGAGAACTTGCTAAGAAAATCAAGCACACTGCTTAGGTTAGGGGTAAAAGAAAGGTTGCAATTTGAATAACGAAGGTAAGAATACTGAAGAATGAAGGAAGGCAGTAATATCTCGAAGGATCGAAGGTAGAAGCTTGGTCCAAAGTAAAACTGAATGAATGAGGGGGTATTTATAGGGGCTTCACGCTGTTTCGCATCCAGGAGCGAGCTGACGATGGCTGACACGCATTGGGGGTCATTATGATGCGACTGACAGGACGTTTCGATTTCTTTGTCATTTTGTGTCGCAGCGTGTTGAAGAATAGATCGGAGAACCAATGTCGTTCCTCGTCGTTTCCGTAAAACTTACTCTACGAAAAATGAGGGGACTATCTGTATACGGGTGAAATCGGACACATGAGATGGCCCAGTCTTCAATAAAATAAATCGAGTAAGGGACGTGATGACAAGGAGCCGGAATTGAGGTAAGGGACTCATCTAGACAGGTTCCGAGGGCACGACGCCCGCCCTCGAGAATATCGGGGTTGTGAGCCCTGTATCGATCCAACTCTTGGAAGACTTCAGAGATCATTATCGGGCGACCAAACATGATTAACAGGAGGGCGTGATATCCGTGACCGACCGGGTATTGCGGCGTAGATCTCGGCACGTACCGGCGAAAATTCGATGATTAGTTAAACGGAAGATGTTTTACCTTTTATGGAATTGTACCTAGAGTAGGACTCCTCTACTATATAAAGAGGGTCTAATTATTCATTAAACACATTGTAACACGCATACCAAGGTAATATACTATTATTTTTCTATTATTCAAAGCTCTTACGTTTGTTGATAAATGTTTCATTATTATAAGCAAGGGATCATAGACGGATACCTCACTGAGGTTGCCCTCGACTCTAGAATCATTCCCCCCTATTTTCAAGCGGTTTGATAATCTATAACATCTTTTATCTGTTTATTCTAGCAATCTTTACCGTTTGTATTGAATAAATCCACGTATCCTTAAAATCACTTATAAATTTAATTGTTATCCATTTTTTAGGGTAAACACAACGTGAAAAAAGCTCTCACAAACCAATTTTCTACGTGAGTGACACATTGAAAATTGTGTCTAACTTAATTATCTTCTTGAATTGGTTTGGTTTGGTATGATTTTATTTCTCAATATTTTTCTTGATCATCCCTAGTCGAGGCGGACACACTCTCCGAACTCGCTTTCCTGACGTGCTTGATGTCCCGAAGGCTTACTTTAGTTCGAATAGACCAAGTCTTATTGTGCTTAAACTCCTGGCGTGTTTTGATCAATGAGTTTCTCATCCGATTTGAAGTAGGCTCTACGAGTTCGTATACTATATGATTTATCTCGTGTATCTTGGATATTATTTTCATGAACAAAAAATTTATATAAATGGCATCGAACAGATTATTAGTTGATAATACTTCTAGACAGTTATTTCTTTATCTTTAGAAGGGAAAAAAGAAGAAAGGAACATCAATAAATGGTCAAGACTCTTGTTCACTAATGTGATTGGGGTTAGTTAACAAGTCCAAACGGAAAGAAAGTGGGGGGAAAGAAGAAAGTTCTTACCTTTTGAGTGGATCCGAAACCCACGTTTGATTTCGGACCAAACACAAGACCCATCTCTAAAGGATTATTTCGTTCTTATACTTGAATTGAAACTTATTTACTTTAAACTTATTTACTTGAATTGCCTAAAGTATGTTATTTGATCAATTTTAATTATGTATTCTTTAGAATTTGTATACAATCCCTATAAGGAATCTCATTCCATAGTTGCCTCCCGCTATAGGTTTCCTTTTCTCTTTCTCTCTCATCTCCTCTCTTCTTGTTCCTATGTTACCTC